CCGAAACTTTCTAGAAACACCCCGAATGCAAATCCGGGCATACGCCCAAGTACAAAATCGCCATCCGAACCTAACAGAACTATTAAAACTCCATTACGGGGTCAAGTATATAAAAGTCAAACTTGGTTAGCTCTTCCAAATTAAAGCTTCAAACATGAAATTCATTCTTCCAAACTAATTCAGAATCACCCGAAAACCGAAACTGATGATATACACAAGTCATAATACATCATACGAAGCTACTCATGTCCTCAAACTACCGAGCGAAGTGTAAATGGTTAAAACGATCGGTCGGGTAGCTACAAGGAAATATGACAATGTTTGGGTTATTGTGGGCCGATTGACAAAGTCCGCACACTTTATTCCGGGGATGACTTCCTATTCTTCAGAGTGTTTGGCTCAGATTTACATTTAGGATATTATCCGTCTGCACGGCGTGCCTATTTCTCTCATTTTTGACCAGGGCACGCAGTTCACGTCACACTTTTGGAGAGTTGTGCCGCATGAGTTGGGCACGCATGGCGAGCTGAGTACCGCATTTCATCCTCACACGGATGGACAATCTAAGCTTACTATTCATATTTTGGAGGACATGTTGCGGGCATGCTCTATGTATTTCAGGGGTCAGTAGGACCAATTTTTACCTTTAGCATAATTTGCCTAAAACAATAGCTATCAGTCGAGCATCCAAATGGCTTCGTATGAGGCCTTATATGACAGTCAATGGTGTTCTATAGCTGGTTGGTTTGAGCTTAGTGAGGCTAGATTTCTGTGCACCAATTTGGTCCGTGATGCTCTGGAAAAAGGTTAAGTTGATTCAGGAGAGACTTGATACAACTCAGTCCAAGTAAAAGAGTTATGCGGACCGGAAGGTTCGAGATGTGGCTTACATGGAAGGTGAGAAGGTTCTTCTCTGAGTGTCGCCTATGAAGGGAATGATGCAATTTGGGAAGAAAGGAAACTTGAATTTGAGGTTTATTTGCCTGTTTTAGTTCTTGGAGAGAGTTGGGAAGGTTCCTTATAGGCTTACAATACCTCCTAGCCTAGCAGGGGTACATTCGGTATTTCATATTTCTATGCTTTGAAAGTACCATGAGGATAGGTGACATGTTTTAGTCTTCAGCACGGTGATCTTAATGCGAATTTGACTTATGAGGAAGAGCCGGTGGCTATTCTAGACCGGCAGGTTTGAAAGTTGAGATCAAGACTTTTCCTTCTATGAAAGTGCATTGGAGAGGTCATCCGATTGAGGCGGCTACATGGGAGTCTGACTCCGATATGAGGAGTAGATACTCGCCTCTTTTTGCCAGTCCAGGTGCATTTCTATGTTTGTTCGAAAACGAATATATCTTTCAGAAGTGGAGAATCTGACGACCCGATAAGGCATTTTGAGTACAAGTGCCTTTTTTTGTGTTACGAGACCCTCCGTACCTTTATTTGATGATTTATGACTTGCGTGCATAGTTCGTATCGATTTTAGAAAAGATTATATGTGAAATTTTAAAGAAAATGTGATTTTTAGCTTTAAAATGACTAGAGTTGACCACAATCAATGTTTTTGGTAAATGACCTCGGATCGGTATTTTAAAATTTTCGGTAGGTTTGTATGATACTTTTGGACTTGTACGTATGTTTGGTTGGAGTCTCGGGTGACCCCAGTCCATTTCGGCGCATTATGTGAAAAGTTGGAAAAATGAGTTTTTAAGTTGAAAATCTTGAGTTTGATGATCGATTCCTTATATTTAATGTTATATTGATGATTTGAGCTAGAGAGAGAGTTTGTATGATATTATTACACTTGTGTGGGTGTTCGTATTGGATCCTGTGAGTCTCAAGTTAGTTTCAGATTGATTTCGGATCATTTTTAGCCGTGTAGAGTTAATTGGTTTTCTGGTGTATCTCAGTGCTTCGCGGTCGCGAATCCCTTATCACGACCGTAGAAGGAAAATTTGGGACAGTGGCAGATTACTCTACGCAAATGTGAGGTAAAGCTCCCGAAAGCGAAGGCTTGGGGGGAAATGGCCTTCGCGAACGCGGCAGGCCTCACACGAACGCTTAGGCTTGGGATCTTTGGGGAAGACATATGAGGTCCTCATCGAACGCGACCTCGTGGACGTGAACGCGGAGGCTTGGCCGGGCTGATGCCTTCGAGAACACGAAGGCTATTTCACCTGTGTACTTTGCGAATGCGGTATGTGCTCCGCGAACGCGAAGAGCACCTGATGCCTAGTTATATTAAAAGCTGAAAATCGGGATTTGACCATCTTTCACTATTTTTGAGAACTAGATCACAGATTGGAGAGATTTTTGAAGAGATTTTCATCCCAACTTCATTGGTTAGTGCTTTACATCTAGTTTTTATCGATTTCCATAAAAACCCATATATTTTTATACTTAAATTTAGTAGTTTAAAGGTAGTAATTAGGGGTTTTAGTTCAATTTATGGATTTTATTAAATTGATATTTAGACCACAAATTTAGGCCAGATTTCGAAACAAATCACATATCCGAGCTCGAGGGTGAATGAGTAATCGGGATTTGGTCCTAATTTCAGATTTCGACCGCGTGGGTCTGGGTTGACCTTTTGTTGACCTTTTCAATTTAGTTAAAAATTGAACCTTTTTCATTCGTGGGTAGTTTCTAAAGCCTGTTTTGAATTATTAGAATATTGGGCTAGATTCGATTGGTTTGGAGACTCGTTCTATAGGAAAAGTCGTGGTTGATTGGTGATTGTAATCCGGAAAGAGGTAAGTATCGTGGTTAAATTTGACTTGAGGGAATTATGACTTGATTGATATTTGCTACTTGATCTATGTGTGGGAATGATATATATGCAAGGTGACGACTGTATACGCATTGTCATAGATTTAAGCATGCGGGGTGGACTATTTAATTGCATGTTTCAATTATATTATGTCTTCTTTTATTCCAAGTTATTACTCGCTTCATGCTTTAATGGCTATATATCTCTACTTGTTAAATACGTGTTTTCACTTATTACATGCCTCTATTTGCTACATGTTTCACATATCCATGCCTTTATTTATTATCCGCTTTTACTTATTCTATGCTCTACATATTCTTAGATAGATGCTATTACTAGACTCATACCTTTACTTGTTTATTTATCTTTACTTGCTTTCTATTTCACTTTAAGTCATTATATTGGATTGTTTTAGAGAATTGATATATTTTGGTTCCTTTTATGTATGTGGTGAGATACACCGTAGTTGGTTGTAGTATATATATACACACACACNTGCGCGTCACAACAGAGAAGTTGTATTATGGTTATTTTTGGCTGTTGGTTCCATTATCGTATTGTGTTTTGAAATTGAGAAGTGATGATATTCTGGGATCCTCTGTTATGTATTTATTATTTCAATTGTCATGTTAATTAGTTGTTTCTCTATTCCGTTATTGTTATCTACTTATACTCGGTTTACCGTGAGTGTCTTGTCGTAGCCTCGTCACTACTTCGTCGAGGTTAGGTTCAGCAGTTACAGATTATATGGGGTCGGTTGTGCTCATACTACACTTTTTCACTTCTTGTGCAGATCCCGGTGTTGGTTCAAACGGTGCGTAGCTGAGATTGCTCGGGCCTGTCTTTTTCAGGAGACTAGAGGTGGAGCTGCATATTAATCGCAGACCCTGAAGTTCCCTTCCTATCTATTTTACTATTTATTTCATTTCAGAGAGTTGTATTTTATTTCAGATTTTGTTTGTAGTATTCTAGCAGCTCATGCACTTGTGACACCAGTTTCTGAGATTAGACTAGACAACGATGTTTATGGATTCTATTGTATATTTCAAGTATTTCAATCTTGTTTTCTTAATAATTTACTTTTAAAACTATTAAATTGATTAATTATTTAGCTAATGTTGGCTTGTCTAGCAAGCAGATGTTAGGTGCCATTATGACCCCGTGGTTGGGATTTTGGGCCGTGATATTTATACCATAGGCTTGCCCGTAGTGTATATTTCTACTAATATAAGCTTGCAAAGTCTAGGATCAATTATGTCTTTACAGGTTATAATGTAGGCTAAGAGACAGGAAGGATATATTTAGGTATTAGTGACTAACCCTCCTAAGTACTTATAATATAATACACTTTAATTTTTAAGCACATACTCTTCATGAGCAATTCAAATGCATTTCCCAGAAATCATATAAAATTTGGCCCTTTTTATTTAAGCACATCTATGCATTCACTAGCCTAGATCAAAATAAATGGGAGGTGTATTTTTTATTTTTAGTCTTTTTTGTATTTTCTTTTGTTCTTTATTTTTTCAAATTCTTTTCAACACTCTCCATGAATTGGTATTTCTGGGTAGTAGCTCTCACATACGTACACTTTTTGTCCTTTGTATGGTTCTATTCAAAAGATCCCATACTTTTCTTTGCTCTTCTAGTGACTTACGTGCTTTCGGAGATAAAAGTTTAATAAGATCTAGTAAAGAATAAAAATGGAATTCGACTTGTAATGTAGGTGCCAAAGAAAAGGTTTACACACACATATAGACTAACTAAGGATAATTTTAATATTGGTACGCAAAATAGCTCAAAGTTCAATCAAAGAAGTGTCTATGTCATCTCCTAGACTCTCAAAATTTAATTATTTCGCTTCGACTAACACACGGGGAAAGTGTAGACTAGAATGGGCTGACATATAGAATAACATTCTAAACCTCAATTCACTTAATGTTATCACGACCCAAATCCCACCAAAGGGTCGTGATGACACCTATCCTTCAAGACTAGGTAAACCAATTACATTAATAACCTTAAATCATCAGAACATGATATAATAAGTCTAAATTATCATAGACAACAGAATTAGTGATAAACATAAGCCAAAACGATAATGCACAGTACAACTTCCAAAATCAGGTAGTATAGACTCATGAGCTCAAAATCGAATACATGAGAAATCTCAAAAGTGCAATATTGTCTAAAAGTAATACAACAATATAAAAATAAGAGAATGGGACTCCAAGGGTCTGCGGCGTCCATGCAGCACTAACTTGAATCCTCTCAAACAGACAAAAGCTCTTTCTCGAAATGTGTTATCTCCAACACCTAGATCTGCACAAAATATACAGAAGTATATTATGAGTACCGGATAACATGTACTCAGTAAGTGACAAGACTAACCTCAGTGAAGTAGTGACGAGGTTGAAGTTATGTGATACTCACTAATCAAAGAATTTATGCAATATATCCAATAACTAGCAACAAGAATATAACAAGGTGCAATACCGAAGCTCAACAAAATAGGAGATATCAACTCAACATAGGTAAAACCATCTTGACTTTTAAATCTTCAAATAATAAAAGAGGAATAGGATATCATGTTAAATACAATGTGGAAACATGTTTAAATGCATGACAAAACATAAAGAATACATGTGCATGAACAAGAATTCGACCCTTATTGTGCCACATGAATATCAATAGTGAAATGCCACCCTTATACTCCACACATCAACAACAGTGAAATATCATACTTATATCCCACACAACATCAACAGTGAAATACTATCCTTATACTCCAAACATCATAACCAATCACAACAATTATGGTACAACAATCCGCGTGTACGCCATCAAGAGAGAAACATGAAAGGGTGACTTTAGGGGGATGGATCCGTATCCACACGGTACACGGCAACAACATCATGCATAACAGTATCCACAATCGCACAACAAATACCTCATGCCACAATATCATCACAATCGCATGGCAAACACCTTGCGCCACAATATTATCACAATCACATGACAACGATCTCGTGCCACAATATCATCACAATCATACGCCAAAGACCTCGTGCCAACACCCATCAATCTGCCCAACATGTCTATCTGTGCCATGATCATAACAATTAAATATGATAAATTATCATCAAAAGACATATGCTCATAATTCATCAATAAGCTGCACAAGGACATGATAATAATAAAATGCGAATGAACGTTCAACAAATAGAGCATTACTTTAGCTAAATCAATTGTAGCAACTAAATTCATGTAGTCATATAATGATTAAGCCTATTTCATATAAAGCATGTCATCAAAATAAAGCATATTAGAAGCCTAAGGTATAATCCGGTCAAAACCACACATAGCACCCGTGTACATGTTCGTCACCTCACGTATACGTAACTTTGCACATAGCACAATTAGGAAAATAAGGACAAATCCTAAGAGTTATTCCATCACACAAATTTAGGCAAGACACTTACCTCAATATGCCCCATATCAACCCTCAAAAATATCCTTTTCCTTAAACTATCACCTCCTTCCGGCTCAAATCTAGCAAAAAATAACTCAACAACTTTAAACAATGCTATAGGAATAAATTTAAAACAATAAGGTTCCAATCTTTACCCAATTCCCAAAAGGTCAATAAAAGTTAACCATAGGCTAGATGGTCAAAACCCGAGTCAAGGGTGTAAGGTCTCGTAAAGTTCACCTAGAACCTGGGATTTCGTGGTGCCGAGGTAGGCTTATATGTTTGAGGTTTGTAGAACAGGGTTTAAGGCCCCGTAAATTTCACCTCGTTGCGGTATAGACTTTTTGGATTGTACAATGCGTCAGGGAGTTGGAAGAAAACTTTTGTAGAACAGGGCCTTTCTGCGGTCCACTATGCGGCCGCAGAATCACTTTGCAGACCGTAAATCCGCCGCAGAATGCAACAAGGCCCAAGCCAAAATTTGAAGAGAAATTTGTGGTCAATTATGCGGCTACATAATCATTTAGCGGGTCGCACAATCCTTCGCATAGCCAGCAAGAAGAATTCTGGATGGAGACTTCGCGGTGCGTTATGCGACTACATAATTGTTATGCGGACCGTAGACTTGGCCAGGCCAAGCCCAATTCTAGGACTGCATAACTGTTCTGTGGGCTGCGTACTCATTTTGCGGTCCGATCTGCCACCGCAGACCCGATTTCGTAGACTTAAGTTTTAGAAATTTTTACCTAACCATATTTTGATAAATAGACTTAAGGGACCATTTTTAAAGGGGAATTCCGATATTTTAAGAGAGAGGAGAGGAACTAGAGAGATAAGTATGAGCTCCAACACCTCCCACTTCAATTACTTTCTCAAGCGTTGGAGAATTCACAAAGAAATCTTTCAAAATTGTCAACTAAAGAGGTAATGTTCTAGCCCTAGCCTTCAATTTCGAAATTTGGGTTGGGAATAGGTAATGGGGAAAATGGTTTGAGAATAAGGGTTGGTTTAGGATGCATGCATGTGCCAATGAAGGTGGTAGGGAGGTTTTGGAGTATGTATGGGTGACCTATTGAAGTGGGATTGCTTGTGGGGTGAAGGAACATCACCATAGGACTCTATAGTCGAATATGCCCACATAGTGTTTGATGAAATGCTTAAAATGAGCTGAACCCACAAATATCTTCCAAATTATGGTTCAATTTTGCTATGTCTCTAAATAGATTGAAGTTTCTAGGATTTTCAAGACATTGTAGTTATTTAAGGAAGTTAAAAGCGAGGTATGTCTGCTAAACTTCTCTCCTAGAATTGAATCCCTCGGTGTTCTCGTAAGTTTCAAGTATGAAGGGCCAAACTCTTATTTCTCATGTTTCAAGTTATTCCTTATAAATTTAACTATTACAAATAAGCTTTATGTCGAAAGATATGTGTTCAAAATATGTTCCGAATGCACCTATCACATTATGTTATCCTCCGGGAATGTGTTTAAGTATGGTGTATATTGAAATATTATGACTTCAATCATGTCACAATTGCAAAGATATTTGTTCAAAATATGTTCCGAATGCACCTATCACATTATATTATCCTCCGAGAATGTGTTCAAGTATGGTGTGTATTGAAATATTATGACTTCAATCATGTTTCAATTGCAAGTTATCATGCCAAATTATGGAGGAAAGCTCAATGTGCTTAAGACTCTTATTTGCCCATATGTATACTTAAAGTCTTTATTAGAAATGCCTTGTTGTTGATAATCAATGATGATGTTTGAAAGTGAAATAAGTGAATATGAGATATAAAAATGTTGCCATCGTGCCAAGAATGAGAAATTACATTTGTGGCCACTAGCACCAATGAAATAAAAAGTTGTGTGAAAGATTATGGAATGAGCTGAAAACCTTTATATATTAAATGTTTTGGGAGTATCGTTTAGTCACTGAGGAAGGGTAGGTTGAAATAACCTAACCCCAAAACTACACGTGCCAGTGTAGGAGTGATTGAGGGGTAAATACCCGTAATGATGTGTTGAGATTATTCCCCTTAAATAGGATGAGATTGATGTGTTGAGATTATTCCCTTTATTTGGGATGAAATGATTGCTAGCGGAATGTGATGTGATATCAACCCAAACGGCATTATGGTGAGACGGCTTAGCCGATCGGGCTGAGATCGGACGCTATGCCGCGAACATGGTGGTGTTGTGATTGGATATATTTGGGTGATATGGCTTAGCCGATCAGGCCGTGATTGGACTCCGTGCTAAAACACAGTGGTATATCGGTACTAAAGATCTCCAACCTAAAACATTGTTATTTACTTGAAATTTATCCTTCTGTTAAGTTGGCACTCTAATATTGTTTGAGGCTCTCAGTGATTCCATGTTTCTTTCTCATTGTACTGCTACTCTTTCTATTGAGAGGGTGTTTAGTCTTACATACTAGTACTATTTCATATGTACTAACGTCCCTTTTGCCGGGGGCACTGCATCTTTAATGGATGCAGGTGGTTCCACATCAGTCGGCATTGATCAATGATAGCAGTACATCCTTTCCTCAGTTGAATTGGTGTGCCCCACTTCATATCAGGGTCTTGCATCTTTTGTCCTTTATGTATAACATTTTGACGTATTGCTGGAGCCTTGTTGTCAGCACCATCATACTGCTCTTTTGTATCCATAGAGGATCCGTAGATATAGTGTGGGTTGTATCTTGGTTGGGAAAGTCAATCTAATGATGTTGTATTTGTATCACATGTTTCTACTTCTAAACAATGAATGTGTAATGCAATATTTTGGGAAATCTTGCATGAAGTCTAACGGTAATGAAATGGGCGTTGTCGATGTAATCTTCTCATTGTCTAATTAGTGGAATATATCTTCACTTTATTCTTGGGTAAGGTCGGGTAGACAACATCAAGTAGGCTTGCTTGACCGGGGTATCTCGGTTAAACGCCGGTCGCTTTCCCCGAGGTCGGGGCATGACAAAGGGGTAGATCCCGACTACACATAACACCATGAGTCCAAATATACTAGATTTTAAATCTGAGTCCAAATCGACTCTCAAATCCCAAATTTTTATTTTCTTAAGTTGTAGGTAAAATCCCTAAATTTTCCCTCAAAGTTTCTTGTTTGGGTGTTAATAATCTATGTAGATTCTTGAAATAATAATAGAAATGTGTAGAAATTACTTACCCTAAAGCCTTTTGTGAAAATCCTCTTCTAAAATCGCACCGCTCCAAGTCTAGGGTTAGAAATATGAGATATGAGGTCTAAATCCCGAACTTGGATCATTAAAACTAGCTGCAGATGTCGCATTTTCGAATAGGGGTTCGCAAATGCGAGCCTCGCAACTGCGAACAAGCTCCCTCAGCATCATTCTTCTCAAAGGCGGCCTGGAGAGTCGCAAATGTGATATTCCCTCCGCAAATGCAGATGTCGCAATTGCAACTCCAGCTTTGCAAATTCAAAGCTGACCTTCTTAACCAACCATTGAAAAAGAGATCAAAAGTCCACAAATGCGAGTAGACCATTGCAAATGCGAGGTCTGCAGCACCAGAAAATCCTCAACTTCCCGAAACCAATCCGAAACTCACCCGAGGCCCTTGGGCCCCATACAAAATATCCACACAAGTATATAAACCTCATACAAACTCAGGCGTAAGTTCAAAAAATTAAAATAACATCCACAACAAAAAATCAAATACCAAAACACACCATGCAAGCCTTCAAGTTCAAGAACTTCAAATTCACAACCAAGCGTCCGATTCATACCAAACCAACTTGGAATGAAACACAACATTGCACAGAAGTTCCAAATAAAAAAACAGACCTATTCCAAGTCCCAAAACAACAATCCAAACCGATAACCTTAAAGTTAACTCAAAGTCAAACTTATGAACTTTTCAAACTTTCAAATTGCCAACTTTCTGCAAATATATCTAAATCATTCTACGAACCTCCAAATACAAATTCGGCCATATGCCTAAGTCCAAAATCACCGTTAAAATCTATTGAAACCATTAAATCATGAATATCGGGTCATTTACTCTGAAGTCAAATCTTAGTTAACTCTTACAACTTAAGCTTTCAACAACGGAACTAAGTGTTCCAATGTACTCCAAAACTTCCCCAGGAACCAAATCAACCGTCCCCACAAGTCATTAAACAACAACCAATCATACAAGAAGAATCAAATGGGGAATAGAGGATCAACACAAAATGACCGGCTAGGTCGTTATATTTTTCCTCTCTTAAACAAACATTCATTCTCGAACGTGTTTAGAGTCATTCCTGAGATGCCAAAAAGGTGAGTATATCTGCTCCGCATATCATGCTCAGTACCCTAAGTCGCCTCCTCAACTAGTTGACCTCTCCACTGCACCTTCACTGATGTGATCTCCTTAGACCCGAGCTTTCAAACCTGTTAATCTAAAATGGCCACCGGCTCTTCCTTAGAAGCCAGATTTCCATCCAACTACATTGTGTTTAAGTCCATCACATGGGACTTATCTTCATAATACATCTGAAGCATAGAAATATGGAGCACCAGACGAACTCCCGAAAGACTAGGAGGCAAAGCAAGTCTATAAGTAACCTCGCCAAATCTCTCCAATACCTCAAAAGGACCAA